AAAAAAAAAAAAAAAAAAAAAAAAAAAAAAAAAACAACAACAACAACAAACTAAATTATATCACACCCCTTTACGCCCCTCAGAGCCCTTTCGAACCCTCTGCTTATACCCCATAAAACCCTTTGGTGAGATATCGCCAAACTCAATGGTAAGGATGGATTTGGGCAAGTCTCGGTGGGCGGCCCGGGCCTAGCAACTCTGTTAACATAGGATGCAATAGACAATTCAAGTTTACCGACTGCAAGGGTTTGCGGATTAACGACAGCAAGAGAGTTTACCGACCGCAAAGGTTTACCAACGGCAAGGGTTTAGCGACTGCAAGGGTGTCATTACTGCAATGACTGCAAGGGTTTCATACCGTCCGCAAGGGTAAACCGACTGCAAGGATTTACCAACTGCAGAGGTTTACTGACTGCAAGGGTTTACCAACTGCAAGCCTTATGGCAAACCGGCGGCCGCAACGGTTTAACAACTGTGCGGGCTTACCAACTGCAGGGGTTTACTAACTGCCGGGGTAAACCCACTGCAAGGCCTAACCAACTGTGCAAGGGTACACCGACTGCAAGGGTAAGGGTAAGGGTAAGGGTAAGGGTTTAACCGCTGCAAGGGTTTACTGACTGCGTGGATTTACCAAGAGCAAGGGTTTAACAACAGCGAGCAGGGGTTTACTAACTCCCGGGGTAAGCCGACTTCACCGCCTTACCAACTGCACAAGGGTTTACCGACTGCAAGGGTAAAAGGGTAAGGGTTTAGCCGCTGCAAGGGTTAACTGACTGCACTGAAAGGATTCATCAACTGCAAGGGTTTACCCACTGCAAGGGTTTACCCACTGCAAGGGGTTTACTGACTGCAAGGGTGCGATGTACACGTCGCAGAGACTGTTTTTGCAGCAGCAGCAGCAGCAGCAACATCGACTGTGTTGCTTCGACCTTCCCCGGAAGGTTGCGTCCGAATGAAATGCACATCGGGGAATGAGACATGTGCGACACTTCAAGCCACTCCAGATGTGCACCCATCCAACGACCTACTGCAAGCGCGAGGCTTGGCGAACTCTTCGAGCGATAGCTGTTTGCTGAGGAAGCCGACCCTGAATGTGATTGTGTCTGACGACGAGTCACCCATCTCGATGGCAGTAACTGGCAGCCATAGCAGCTCCTTGGCTTGGATGCCTGACAAGTGGAAAAGGCGCTGTTTCTGAAGCACCCCGGTTACCTTCTGAGCATAGTAAACGGGGGTGCCACTGGCAAGCTTGATATAGCAATCATGCTCGAGTTCGACGGAGAAATGGCCGCTTGGCTGCAGATCATAATCCTTCACGTTGAGTGGGAGCAGCCCTGGAGGTAGCCCAAAGCTCGTCAGCACGTCGTATGCCGACTGCGCCGCTGCTGACGCTGCGCCCTTGTCGGCATTCGCCATGACGAAGAAGGCCGTTCCGAGTAACAACAATATATGCAATATATGCAGATGCAAACCCGTGTCTGCACGCAGACTGAGTAACCGCCCTCGGCACACGTCACCAGACCGCCTCAGAGTCTGAGCTGTTGCTATGCTAACCATTGGTGAGCTGTGAAATTATAAGTACAGCCTCCGCCGCCGCCGCGGCAGCTGTGAGATTGCAAGTACAGCCTCCGCCGCTGCCGCGGTTTCGCTATCCTGCTGTCTTGTCAACCACTTAGTTAACCAAATAGTAATTAGTACTCAGTAATAATTAGTAATTAGTGATCAACAATAATTAGTAATTAGTAATTAGTGATTAGTAATTACTAATGAGTAATCAATAAATCAGTAATAATTAGTAATTAGTAATTAGTAATTACTGCGTGGTGGGTACGCCAGTGGCAATCGCATGAGCCCGTATTCTCCTTTTCGCTGTGATGCTCTCGTCCTTCCTTTCGTCTCTCGCTGTCGCTCGTCTCTTCTTTCTATAGCTGCCCACTCAGCAAAATCCAGATCGGGCCTGCCACACATAACCGTGCATGAGATTTGTCTTCAGCGATCGATCTGCAAACCTGCCAGTGACAAAAGCATTCACCTGGTTAGAGGCGGGAGGGCGGGCGGGCGGGCGAGGAAGAGGAAGAAACACACCATACAGGCTGAAAAACCACTGGGCCCTAAATTTCTGATCATGCCTTGGGCGTTCCTTGGAGGGTACACTCAGACAAGCACCGGAAGGAGAGCCGGACTGGGACGAATCCGACTGCTATTGTGTCCATCTTGAGCAGAAAACATCAGCGTGAGCTTTTTTCTTCNTCAGACAAGCACCGGAAGGAGAGCCGGACTGGGACGAATCCGACTGCTATTGTGTCCATCTTGAGCAGAAAACATCAGCGTGAGCTTTTTTCTTCCCCCCCCCCCCCCCCCCCCCCCCCCCCCCCCCCCCCCCCCCCCCCCCCCCCCCCCCCCCCCCCCCCCCCCTCTTCTTCAGAGTTGCTGAGCGGCCCTGCAAGGCCAGTATCTGTTTGAACCCCCACGTGTATAAGGAACTTGAATTTGGCCAGATACACGGGACGGCTTTGTGGAGAGTTTGGCTGCCGCGGCACAGGAGTGAAAACGACAAACGACAACCTCCTTTTCATTACACCTGCTGGCAGTTGGTCCAGCAGTCAGCAGTTCGATTCCACAGTGGCTGATACCGGTGCCACCTTCAATTTTCAAAGCGGCGGCGGGTACCGGTCGCGTCCAGGGGCGGCAAAATTCAAATTTAGGCTCGTACATTTAGCCTCGGGTGTACTGGTTAATCATACCGTCTTTCCCCGAACACAGTGACCTCGTCAAATCTCGTATCAGACGGGAAATATAACTTCGTATACACTCATGCCCAGGGCAGTTCTACCAAGTCTGCGAACCTTTCAGATGGGTATGGGGCACTTGCAAACCTCAACTGCAAATGCCGCCTTCAAGGCTTCAACCGAAAAGAGCGCCCAGGCGCTGCATTCAACTTACCCTAAGAAAAAACAGATTTGTGGTTTTACTCACTTTTTTTCGAACATAGCGTGCAGGAGTTAAGTTCGAATAGAAGGCACGGGCGTTATACTTGAACAAAGGAATGGGCAGAGTGACTTGTAGAGGGGTGGAAGGGGAGTGGAAGGGGGGTATACATGGGTTTCGAAGGGGGGTTGAAAGCGGGGCTCGACTACGAAGGGGTACGATTTGGTCTGATTTTTTTCCTTTCTTTCTTTATTTGCGAATTTATGAGGAATTCTGAAGTGCCCCTCAGCCAGAAGTTGGTTGCATTGCAATTCTCGACAACACATTTATAAAAAAACGAAAACAAAAAGGTTTAAAAAACATGTTTTTTTTTTTTTTTTGGGAGCCGGGGGGGGAGGGGGGCGCCGAAGTTGCTACCAATTTACTGAATGCAACGCCAGGCCGTTATCAACGAATGTAACCCCCCCCCCCCCCCCCCCCCCGGGCATAATATTTGTACACGAAACCTGGGCGTTATTTTCGGGTGATTACGGTAGGGGCTGGAGGCAAACATCATAGACCCCATTCTTACCTGGCCAACGCTCTTGATTTCCAAAACTAGGGCCCCTACAAAGTCCTCTTGACTGGAGACAAACATAGACCCCATTCCTACCAGGATAAGGGCCTTGGTTTCGAAATTACTGTTTTAACCGCAAAAAAGTACGTACGTCGTATAGGAATACAACGTTTGTACGTTGTATAGGAATACGACGTACAGGGTATGTACTATTTTGTATTCGAATACAACGGAAGTACGTTGTATAACGAGTTTTAGGGTACAACTTTGCAGAAGCTTGTAGTACCAGACATTGTTTTTAGTACTTTTACTTTTTTTTTTTCCTCGAATTTGGTTGGGAATTTCTCCAAGACCCTCAGGCAAAAGTTGTGTTGTATTGCAATTTCGTACAACATACTTTTTTGAAGTTTTTTCCCAGATTTTTTCGGATTTTTTTTTTTAAATCGACATTCTTAAGAAATCATAAAACACTGCACCTCAAAAGATATTTTTCATTCTTGTTTTCATTTCCCCCCCCTCAAATTCGGTTCTGAATTTCGACATGACCCTGAAGCAAAAAAAAAACAAAAAAAAAATTGTTTGTATTGCAACGTTGTAGAACTTTCTTTTTCTCTTTGGAAATTTTCTTAATTTTTTTTTTTAAGTTGAAATTAGCAAAACATTGAATACAACGTACGTACATTACATTCGACCGTACGTTCCATTCGGGAAAAAAACAGCGATTTCAGAAAACCCATTTTTCTCGAGGTGTGTTTAATAGAACATACGTCCGTTTTTTTTTCGGGGTTAAACCTCCACTACCTCCTATCCGGTTTTTTTTTCGGGGTTAAACCTCCACTACCTCCGACCCTGTTTTTCCCAAACCTGATTTCACTGCGCACCGAGTTTTGCCGAGGCTGGGTCCCATCGCATTTCCTTTTCTGGTGCTCACGGCAGTTATATCCCAAAAAGAACGAAAATGAGAAAAAAAAAAAAAGAAAAAAAAAGGAGAAGAGAAACAGAAACGTCCTTAAACGACCAGTACTTCCTCGAGTCGTGCCCGTTAACGCGCCACGATTTTAGGAAACGTATGGGCTACTACAGGAGCGCCCAAATTCATCCGACTAGAAACGTTTCTACTTTTTTTTTTTTTTCCGCGGCCGATCGCTGGGCCAAGTACTGGTGGGGTTTAACGCCGTCATAGCCATCAGATACATTCTATGAGGTACTGGTGAGACCCCGCTCACTGTGAGGGCATCTGTCCCTATGAAAAACGATTGAAGAGCAGACAGGGAAAAAAACAGAGAAAAAACTTCCCTTGTGCTGCGATTGCGGTCAGATACAGAGCCCTACAGTGCTGATGTGAGTATTAGGTGAGTGAGGCAGTCAGCTCCCCCCCCGCCCCCCCTCAGACCCCCTGGAATCCACCCTGCCTCACTGGCAGGGCACGAAAAAAGAAATGAACTAAGGACAACCAAAACGAAAACACAAGCAATCGTGTTCCTCACATAGTGGCCAAATACATTCCCCCAAAGCACTGGTGCGACTTCCACCTCCTGTGAGGGCCTTTCCCAATGAAAACAAATGAAGAACCAAAAAAACAAAACTTCGCTTATGCTGCGATCGCACTCGGATACAGAACGCTACAGTGCTGACGTCAGTACGATGTGAGTGAGGCAGTTGGCTGCCCACCGTGGAACCTGCCCTGCCTCACTGGCAGGGCACAAAAAAGAAATGAAACAAGGAAAACGAAAAGAAAAACAGAAGCTGTCGCATCCCTCACATACTGGCCAGATACATTCCTCAAAGCACCGGTCTCACTTCCACCTCCGTGAGGGCCGTTTTTTTTTTT